AATTTTTACTATCACAAATTCTTCTAATTTCGATGCCCGGCCTCATGATTAGCCACATAACGTCGGCCTCTCCGCTTCTGCCTCGGCTAAGATCTCAGACGTTTCTCAGCTGTGACAAAACGACACGATCGACATATTACGATGGAAATGTGCCAGGAAATGCAATGTTATCCGGGAAAAATAGCAACACCATCAACGATAACAATTGAGAAAGAGCACAAGCAGAGCATCCAGGAGCAGTGCCAGCAGCAGTAAGGCGCCTCCTGGTGATCATAACAAAAAGGCCGTGTCCGTGAACGTTACCCACACACCAGCAAGGAGCAGCAGTAGCAGCAACAACAGTAGCAATAGCCCATTGAACGAACAAAAGCAACACGCTCTCCCTGTGCGTGCGAAAACTGAACAAACCAATCGATCCACGAAAAAGAAGCGAAAAGATTTTTTCTTTTTTGAAATTTCTGCATTTCATATGGTGATGATGATAACGATGACGGTGATGGCAGCAGTGTACTTTTAACGACAACAACAATGATGATGCTGATGATGGCAGCGAGGGAGAAGACAATGATAATGATGATGATACCTACGGTATTCTAGACCTGGTTAGTGACAGACAACATACACGAACAAGCACACACACACACACACATACATGCACATATACAAACACATGTTAATACATACACAGACACAAACATATGCATGTTTGCATACCAGTAAACACACTCACATACATAAACATGTGCTATTCACATATGCATCCAGGATAAAAACTATATACATATACGACACATACACATACATACATACACACACATACACACATATATCGAAATGAAAGAGCACAATGGCAGCAGTATGATTTTAGGAAAACCGATGAGTAGGGGCATCCCTAACGTGTTGTTACCTCGTGCCCTCTTCCTTGCCCGCTCCTCTCCTCCTCCTCCTCCTCGCTCTTCCTGCTGCCACTCCTATTTCTCGCCTCTGGATCCACTCCACTGAATGCGTTCCAAAAAAAGTGTGAGAAGACAACAAAGGGTGGCGCGTTCGCACTGCAACACATCCATGTGCTTCACTCAGGACTGCTCCGGGAGACGTACATTAACTAGCACTAGTGACGCTGCTGCTACTACCATTACTAGTGCTGCCCTAAGTACCACAGCTGCACTACTGCTGTGGCTGCTA